AAAGACTGGTAATAGATGTCAGCTCTGATGCCAATCTTTAAAAAAAAGTTATGTTTACACTATACTGTAGTCTATTAGCAGTGCAACAGTATTATGTCTAAAGAAACACTATGCATACCTTAATTAAAAAATACTTTATTGCTAAAAAATGCTAATGATCATCTGAGCCTTCGGTGGGTCATAATCTTTTTGCTGGTGGAGGGTCGTGTAAAAAATGCAATATCTGTGAAGCGCAATAAAGCAAAGTGTGATGAAACAAGTGATGCTTGTATTAAATAAAATATCTTTAAACAGAAGCGTGTGTAAAACAACATTATGTATGAATCAGTTGATGAAAATGTTATGATCTGAGGCTCACAGCAACCTGACTGTACTTCCCCCAGGAGCAACAGTTCGTGGTGACTTTGGAGAACATTGCTTCTGTGAATAAGCAGAATCGAGTGTATCTACGTTTCTGGGGATGGCTAGATTGAGATGGTTCTGTACTTAGCATGGCGTCTGGGACACAGTAGGAAAGCCCTATGAGGTTTATTGTCTTCTTCCTCTCTCCTTCCCTGTGCTTGATAGTGCTATGCTAAAGGAGGCAGCCTCACTCAGATGCAACCAGAAGTTATGGAACCTACAACATGAGTGTTGTTATTGTTGGATGGTCGCCTCCTCCAGAGAGGTGCTTTGGAAATGTGATCATCCATCAATTTACAGTCCCTGAGTTGCCTTTGAACTACACCAAGATGGGTGCTCACAGTAACAACAAACAGAACTACGTCCAGGCGGGAAGTCTGCCCTCCTGCCTAATGTTCTCTCCTGGCTGAGGACTGCCAGTCTGTCATATTTTTTCAAGTTGCTTTTCTTGAAGGAACCTGGAGGCTTTTCCCATCCCAGGTCTCAGCATCCTTACAGCAAAACCTCCCCCTTCTCATTCTCTGTCTGCACTTACTTTGTTGCCTATGGGTTGAATCCTCAGTACCGATTAGTCCTTTATTCCTTCCAATGGCCCCATGCCCATCACCCAGCCTTGTCATGTGATGCCCGCCACACTCCTGCAGACACCACTGACCCACCTGAAGTTGGGGCAGGTTTTTTGGTAGTGGTTAGAATGGGCATTATTTAGCCCACATTCTTCCTCTCATTAAAGATGACAGCTGATCAGATTATGCTACTCCCTGCTTAAATCGTTGAAAGGGTTCCCATTACTCTTGCCCTAAAACTTGCCCTCCTTACCATGGGACATAGGCCCTATGTGATCTATCCCTCCCTAACATTTGAATGTCATCACCCGCATTCTCCCCCCTATTTATTTTGCTTCATCACCTTGGCCTTCTTGCTTCTCCTTGAACTTAAAAGCCTGTCCTCACGTTGGAGCCTTGGTGTTTAGGTTGCCTGGTCTGCAACCACTCAAGATCCTCCCCAGCCGCTCCTGTTAGTCAAGTCTTAGCCCAAATCACCTGTCCGTGAGGCATCTGTGACCATCCAGTCTGAAGAGCCCTGCAATCACTTTGTTTCTTTATTATTACTTTTGTCCTTTGTCACTAAGTGAAATTACCTTGTATTGTTGTATCCCTCAAAATTCATGTTGAAGTCGTAACCCCTAGTACTGCAGGAGGTGGCTGTATTTGGAGACAGGGCCTTTAAAGAGGTGATTAAGGTATTTTCCCATTTATGTATTCTATGTACATATCCCTAAAAGCCCCCGAAGTAGCTAGCGTGTATGAATCAGTGTTCTTTGCAAAAAGATAGAGGATGGTAACTTTTTGCCGAATTATGATACCATTGAAATTTGTTTTGTCCCTTTTGTTGGAAAAATGAGATTAATATAATAAAAATTTCATTAATGGTTAAAAAAAGAGGTGATTAATGTAAAATGAGGCCCTTAGGTAATCCAATTTGACTGTTGTCCTTAAAAGAAGAGATTAGGACACAGACAGACACACAGAGGAAAGACCACGTGAAGACACAGAGGGCGGATGGTCTGCAAGCCAAGGAGAGAGGCCTCAGAGGACATCAGCCCTGCCAACACCTTGATCTTGGACTTCCGGCCTCCAGAACTGGAGAAAATAAATTTTTGTTGTTTAAGTCACCCATCTGTGATATTTTGTTACGGCAGCCCCAGCAAACTAATGCTCCTGGTTTCTTTGTTTTGTTTTTCCCCTCTCTTCCTAGATTGTAAATTCTATGAAAGCATGAACCGTATCTGTCTTATTCACCCTTCCATCCTTAGTGCCTATACCAATTCCCAGCACCTAATGGGCTTTCTATAAATATTTTAAAGTGATTGAATGATGCAGCCAGGGACCTAGCCCTTTGTTGCTCAAGTTATCTTTGGCTATGGAGACATTTCCATTATTCATTAAGTTAAAAAATAAACAAATCTCTTGCCTAAAGAATTGCTTCAAAACTTAGTTACAAGTGCCAGAGCTTAGACTCTCTCACCCATTCACAATTCTGTGTCATTAATTCTCCATTTCTTCAACACCTACTCTTCTCAGTTCCTCTCCGTTTGTTTCTAGACACTTCTCTCAGCCTCAGACCTGTGTCTTCTTCTCCTGAGCCACTTTATCCTTGGGTCTAGGATGCTGGTACCACAGGTGGTTTCCTTTACCTGAGCCCTGCCACAAAACCCCTCAGCATCTGTGCCCTGAGTACCAGCGAGAGAAGCTGGCACCCACACAGGAAAATATTGAGTTCAGAGAATTGGAAACAAAGTGCTTTTTCATGCTCATCTTGCTCCCTAACAGATGGAATGTTAATCACTGATAGCGCATATCTTACCAGCACTCTCCTAAGCGAGTTCATTTGTTTCTCCAACAAACTTTTATTGTGCCCTTATTACATGCCCAGCCCCAGGTGAGGCTCCAGCAACACCAGCCAAATGCTGGTTATTCTGTTTGCCCCCATCAGATCTCTGCTGTACGTGGTGGGGGGCTGACCCCTGCTCCCTACATCTCCCAGGGGTCCCCGCTGGCAGCTTTCTGGCTGAGTTCAGCCAATGGATGGCACTGCAAAGAAGGAAAAGAGAGATGTCAGGGTATTTGCTCCCCACCCAGGTTTACAGCCCCTGCAGGGCAGGCTCTTCTCCACGCTACGCCCTCTCACTGGCCTCTGGTTACAACCCAGGGTGGTGACAGCCTCCCATGCTTGCTGACGTCTGGGTGCCTTGCCTCTCCGTATTTGATCTTATGATCCTGCCCAGGCCTCTGACAGTAGTCCTTTTATTGGTTTCTTCAAATGAACCATCTGACAGTGACTTCTGTTTCCTCCCTCGACTCTGACTGATACAGGCTTTATATAATTTTCTAACTTCAATGTTTAGGACTCACATATCTTTCCTCTCCTCACACTACAGCAGCTTTGGGGATAATCAAGGAAGGGTGTGGCATTCAGGCTCCAGTCACCGTGGTGACTGGTTCTGAGGGACCACCCAGTATCCTGGTACACCGTGGTGCACGATACCCCTGCTTGGTTGTCCTGCAATCTTTCACTGTCGCCACTGCCCCCAGTGAAACAAGTGCAGAGGGAAGAAATAATACATGCCTGGGTTGGATGTGGCAGCCCCAGTAATAAGGAAGAGGGGCTAAGGGGAAGGTGAGCTGCACTGTGGCAATTTGGGAGAGATGCTTGTAGAGTTGGACTATGCTATGTTTACAGAACCGGAAGAGTTCACGCCTTCCCAAAGTGGTACTTTTGATTAGAGCCTATCTTTTTGTGCCTCAGAGAAACTTTGGTAGTTTAATTTATTAGAATATCTTATGCTTTGGATCAGACTGTTGTTGGGGGTGGTTATAACATTTATAAGATTTTTAATAGTGTGTCTGCTTTATTTTTCATAATACTGGAAGTGGTGGTGGTAGGGTGTCTGGTTGAATGCCAGTGTCATTTTTATGGCTCTTGAGATATCAGTTGACTAAGCTTAGAGCAGAAGGGCAGCTGGGGAAGACAGTGTTACACAGGAAAGACAGAGAAAGGGGGAGAGAAGATCCAGCAAGGTGGGGTACAAACTCAGAGAAGGTGATGTCAGCCAAGCTCCTATGAGATGTACACACACAGGGAGGGACAGTTTTGTGTGTGTTGTGTGTCCTAAGTGCCTCTTATAATTTGGAAAAATCAGACAGTGTGATATATTTCAAGTGATAGCTCTATAAATCATTTTCCCCCAGAATGAAGTACTACATAAAGTTTAACATTGAAGTTTTTATACCTTAATTTTCAAAGAGATCCTGCAATGTGTATACGTGTGTGTGTGTGTGTGTGTGTGTGTGTGTGTGTGTGTTATATAACATATAAGTATGTTATGGTTTTGGTAAGTGGAGCACAGGGTGCCAGATGGTGAGCCAAAGTCCAATAACAGAACACAAGAGAAATTGGAATAGAGAGGTTTATTACTCACAGGTTCTGGAGGAGGTACATGGCATGCCTCGAGGGGCCACACAGGGAGGTCAAGGCAGGGTGCAGAGAGAGAGAGAGACACAGGATCTGGGGTACATGCCTTTATTAGGGTCCATGGGTGGAATGCTTTGGAGTTCCTGGGCTAAGGCTGGATCAGTCAATTCAAACCAAAAGAGCAGGGTCTTTGTAAGCCCCACAGGGGTCTTATCTAAGGGGCACATAAGGCATACAGGTCCCGGGAGGGGTGAGACTGTTGATCACAAGGCTGTCGGGAAAGTCATATCAGGAACTTAGAACTCTGTAGGCTGTACCCAGGGGCATGCCTCTGCCTGAGGGGCTGGTGTCAATTTAAGCCCCCTGTAGGATACTTGGCCAAACAACAGATGCTGAGGCAGCAATACCATGGAGTAGCTTAGCCAAATTCTCGACAAAATAACATATTATAACATATAAACATAACATTACCTTCTCAGTAATTATAGCAATTATAGGGATTTGAGGAGGCTTGCAAGAAACTAGTAGGATGAGGCAAGCCCTGAAATAAATCTTGTCCAGGAAGGTGTGACGTATTCCCAACACAAGCTAGGTAGTGCTTACAGAAAAGGGCATTTACACTGTACTCTTCAGACTTATCTTTATTATGAAAGTGTTTCCAACGTAAAATGACCCTCATATAATAATGATTGCTTCCAGAGATCAAGAATGAATAATTATATTTTCATATAAAAATCAGCAAAACACAACAATACATAAAGTAATTCTAATTGGCTAACAGTACATCATTCCATTTCTGACAGAGATGCTCAAGCACTGAATTGTCTGAGGAAAACAAGTAAGGTTTTGTCACTGATCCTAATTCTCACTGCAAGTTGAAAAAAAATCAAATCCAAAAACTAACTACCTCCCCCTCACACGACAACAAATGGCTGTGGAGGTAACTGAGCACATGGGCAAACAGACTTGATGAGTATCATGAGCTTAGAGGCTTTAGGAAGCGTTTGGAAATCAAACTTGAAGGGTGTTTTCCATGTTTAAATTAATGAAACTCTAAGTTAAAGTTTCAGAATTGCCACATAACTGTTCCTATTACAGAGCTAATTTCTCTTTGGCAACTGATCTTTAAAAACTCCTAATTTTTCAAGGTCAGTTTTACAATGACAGTTTAAAAAATTACTGTAGATTCCCCCAAAAATTATGTCTATAAAATATAAGTTTTCACTTAACATCGGAATCATATCGACAGCTGTAATTCCCTGGTTTCCAGGCCATGCAACATACACGAAAATAGGAAGTCAGCTTTCCTGGACCTGTGTTAAGGAAAACAGGCACACACGGGCACAGTACTTTTTAAGAAAAAAGGAATCAGGCAGAGAACAAAGCGTGGTACGCAACTGATCCAGAGGCTATTGGGAAATCTATAGCAGAGAAGTGATAATATTCTGGCTTCCTTTTATCAAGAGTTCCAGTAAGCTGAAAGGAATGGGAGCGAATGAGATAAAGAAGACACATCGTAGCTAACAGTCCCCTCTCATCCTTCCTGGGCAATCTTGAGGATGCCTAGTCTTGTGGAGACACCATAACATACGCCATCTGGCTGCAGAGACTTTTATTTCTTTGTTCTGACGAGGTCTGAGCTTGGGGCCATTTGGCAATGCCTTCCTTTCAAAGGCTTCAGGTTGAATTCAAGTTGGAAATACCTGAAAAAGACTAAGGTTCTCCTTTGGGTGTCTGCAGATCTTATTAACAGTTACTTATGATGTTTTATGTTCTCTAATACAAGTTTCTCCATGAAAACCAGCATCTGGTATGCTCCCTCTGAATATATGTTAGAAGAGTTTCAACAGCAGAGTGGACAGGCCTCCTCGGCATCCACTGAGCGCCCCCTAGGGGAGGGGAGGGGACCGTGCACACAAAGGCAAACCACAGGGCCCTTTTCTGGCTTATTACGACGACAAACTAAAATGTGGCTACAGTGAACCAGTGCTAATTACTGTCTGGTAATGTGAGAAATGGCACAATTTCATTTTACCAAGAGAAACTTAAACTGACTCTGGGGACAACAACATCTTCATTTAAACAAGTACCTTGCTGCATTTTGCATGACTTCAAGAACTGTTTATGATTATTGAGAGTATTCCTTATATGGACAGCATACTAGACAGCAAGTATAATAACCAGAGCTAACTGCATTTTCTCTTTCCATACAGGTTACTTAGAAACAGAAAGTGCCTTGTCATCACTTTCTCATCAGGCTGACTCTCATTTGACTTGATTTTTTTCTTATTTGAATGTTAGAAACATTTCAGGGCTACTAATATTTACCTACAAGCAGAAGTCTGCCAAAAAAACAAATAAAAAAAAGGAAGCTAATTAGAATCTTAAGACCTCAAATAGCACATGAAATGTAAACATCTAACCTTTTATTTCCAAAGGATTTCTTGAAGCCTCTCTGGACACACACTGACAAACAGACTCTTTTAACACCTTTGGAATTATTCTGTACACTTTTTACACTTCAAATTAAGAAAAAATACTCAAAGATTCAGGCAACTTTGGCATTAATATTTCTAAGGAATGGACAAAAATAAATATCAATGCAAAATCATGAACAGAGTGGGAATGATCATGGATGTTCATAAAGTTCTCTCCGAAGAGCTCTTTTGCAAAGTCTCAGGTAAGCTGAAACGAAATCTCATATTTCACTTCAGTTCAAATAGCAATAAGGTTGAAATACACAAAGTGGATGATTCACACTGTTTCTACCTAAGGCGAAACATTCAGTTTGCTCAAATTCAAACTCTATGAAATACTCAGAATGGAAAGTTTGGCAACAGAACTGGACATTTTGAGGTTCACCCACCATTTTGACTAAAGGTGATCTGATCTTATCTCACTGAAGAGTTATTTCTTTCACCCAACTGCTTGCTTTCTTTGGAGACCCTACCTTCCTTCCTAGCTCATCTTTGTCAGGTACCTGTTTCACTACCTCATGGTACCTCACGACATCATCTGTCTAGCAGCCTCGCGGGAGTTGGATGTTAATAAAATCCCAGATGAAGCAGCAATTGCATGCGATTTTTTTCACACATAGTTTAATAATCCAAAATGCTGATAGATGCTCCCCTATTCTGGACGTTCATATGACTAAATTTGGAAACAAGCACTGTGTTTGGCTTCTATGCTGACCTTAGGCCCTCTGCGATCTGAACTCTGCCACATTGAGCTCCGAGGCTGAGGCTGAAAGGATTCTACTACTCTCTGCCACGTGGGTACCATGAACAGGAAGTTGAGAAGGAGGCAGCAGTTTCTATGGTTCATGGTGGATGGTTTTTATGAAAAGAATATGGATAAGGATGAGTCAGTGACATTTCGGTTTTATCACGTTTTTGGAGAAATATACATGTACATACATAGATCACACATTTTTATATTATTTATTGACCCAAGGCCAAATTCTACTCAATTTTCTACTTTTTCCCCACTAAGAGATCTAGAAAAGCATTAGGGAATAATGCTTTTATAACATTAGAGGACAAAATATTACTTTTTCTAGACCCCTTCCTACATTTTCCTCTGTACCCTGGGAAGGTTTGAATGTGACCAGGAGGAGGGAAGTATTAATGCAGGCTACGTTAACTAACGGGAAGCAACACTAACTAACCTACAGTTGAATTGATAAAACATACTTCCAAAGCTATGGCCTGGCACAGGTAGAAGATAAGATATCTCACAGATTTTTCTCTCTCAGGCTTATCAGGCCACCATGGGAAAGCAGTAGACAGAGACAGATTATTCTTCACCTTACAAGCCCTACAAACACTATTTTGATTAGTCAAAAAGAACTCTTTGCCCTAAAATGAAAAATGAAATAAAAACCCATAAATACATAGAGGCCTGTGTTGAGCTGGGCTCTGAGTACTCTCAGTCCTCCTTCTAAGTGACTGTCAGGAAAAAGAAAAGATTATTTAGATTTGTCTTTGCTAAGGACATACTCAATTTACTTCATTTTATGCAACTCTTCTAAATTTTTCATTTACAAGCTGACCTCTGGAAATTATTCTTCTGTGCTAAAGATCGTCAGATGATCCAAATTTGAATACACTGTGGTTCTCTGGTTTACTTTACTCATCGAGAGGACTTGCTCCAGACACTAAAGCAAGATACACTTCACTCTTCTGGTCCATATTTCAGTTGAAAAAGAAAAGAAACTTTCACCTTCTCAAAATATTTCAGCTATGACATGCTTACTGTTGCTTTTTATATATCTGCCTTTTAGCAGATGTTCGAATGACTAACAAGTACTTTTGATGTTTTATGATTGGTCTTACAAATTCAAACTATCCACAAATTATACTCCTAGGCATTTCCCTGTTTTGTGAGATAAAAATCATAGGCTTTACAAGAAGCATTAGTTGCACAGCTTTCTCAATCAACAAGCAGACATATTTCCAAGCCTCTTCAACCTTTCCTAGGGACCATACCAGAAACATACCACTTTCTAAACAGGTGGGGAAAGATTTAATATTACAGTGTGAGGTTTTTATTTGGGAGCATTTTTTTTTAACTATTAACCCACAGGTTGCAAATTGTGGGCACAAAGCTTTATTTTAGTTTTTTCAAAAAATCAAACTGAATATGAATGGCTCTGAGCAGGACACGCATTCTCTAGCATCTTGTTCTTGTCTTCAGGACGCCCTGATTCACACATTTGTACCGCTGCATTGTGGTTTTGGACTCGTGTTTTAGATGATGGTCTTTTTAGTTTATGAAATATTTGTAACAACTTTTTATTCCCTCTTACTAAAAGTTGGAAGAAAAGAGATAAAATCTTTGGTTTATGTGTATGGTTTTCTTATCTGGACATAAATAACACTGCCATGTAGGAGACTTGGAAACTTATTTTCCAGTCATCTTTCTCATTGCTGATATTTCCATTGTCCAGCAGAAATAGCTTTGTTTGAATAAAATTTCCTAGAAACTGATCAAGTCTTCAAAGAAGCAATGAAAGGACGTAGAGTGCGACAGTGCTCAGTTCCTAGTAACAGGGAGTCATTTGGGGTTACGTTTAAGGAGAAAAGGCAAAGGGTAAAACAGTCTTTCTCCCCTTGACTTTATTTTGCTCAGAGAAATAAAAACATCAATATCAAATACTAGATAGGGCACTTTCTTGAAAGCTGGTTCCAATAAAGTGCTGAGCACTAGAGGTGTCCTTTGTCAACTCTTAAAAGTCCCCTTCTTCTGTCCCATAATATACTTAGCTTCTTTTCTTCATGACATAATAGAAGACTGTGCTAATTATAGGGGTAGTGGTAAAATCTGGTTGAAATCAGCTGCTCTCTTTATGATTTTCTCAGATCACAAGGCAAATTCCCAATATTCACAGTGATTTCTTTGCTTCTAACTATGACCTTAAGCAAACGCCTTCCTCAGAGCCAGAGCACTGACCTCACACTAGAAAATAAAAAATCTCTGTAGCCCACAAGGTTAATCTCCAACTAGCTACCACACTCAGTGAAGAAATCTTGGCTGCGTGCACAATAAATGAAGTTTATTCCAAAGCAATTTAATGTAAAGCAGTTTTTAAAAAGCCCTCCAACAACCATACTCTTTAATGTGAACTGCTAATTAACCATGAAGAGTGACAATCAAAAAACCTAGCTCATCCTGTTTAAACTTTATACTGGGAGAACGGTCACTGAGACTGTATGGGCAATTTCATAATGGGCACTAACACAAAGAAAGCAAACCTATTTGGAGCTGTACGAGAATCTTGTGCTGGGCTTTGCTTGCTCTAACAGACAAATTAAGCTGATGCTCTTAGCACACTGAGTTACAGCAATAGAAAGGGGTAGAAGCAGATGAAGCATCTCCCTCACGTTACGTACCCAGAGAGTAAAAGGAGTGAGGAAACCCTCTTTTGTCCACAGATTTACAAACAAATACAAAAAATAAATAATATTCTAAGACAGTACAAACGCAAATACTGTTCCCTTGTGTCAATCACGTACAGCATGCCTACATTTAGAGAATGGTAATTCTTCTTCATTCACAGACAGAACATATGGCAGTGCGCTATTCAAAATGCTTTGATAATCCTAATTTTTGTTTCTGGTGCTGAGATATTATGAAAGGAACTGCATTTGCAACTTATTAAATACTTCCAGGAACAAACAGTTCACTTTGTTCGGGACTTCTAGTTTTGAGTAATTAATCATCCACGGAGCAAGGGCCGGTCAGGAGATACCCATTGGTACCACTGGTCCCATTGGTGGTGGTCGCAGTGTGGGGGTTCTTCCCTGGAGGTTCTGAGTCTTCCTCATCTGAGCTAGACTCAATATCACTTCGATCATCCTTGGACACCTGTGGAAGTGAAGAAGGTGAGTGTAACCAGCTCCTAAGGAATCATCAAGATATGGCATGCTCAGAAGCACACACAATCATACATGATGGAAAACAGACCCAAATGCTAAAAAATCAAAGAGGATAGGAACATTGCCATGGTAATAAGTCCCCCTTCATTGGAGATTACAAGTTGGGTGACCAAGTCAGTTATCAAGGAATGTAGGTATATTTAGGCATCATCGGAGGCTGGACTTGCTGGACTTTTTACAGTACCTTTCAATACTGAGAATGTTCTAGACCACGAATCCCCTCTTACTGGCAAAGTGGCATACTGCACTACTGGAATGGCATTATAGGAATTTGGTATAATGGATCAAGTTACTCTCTGATGATCACATTCTCCTTGAGAATCACTTAAAGTCAGCTCTCAAGTAACTACACTAATGGAGATATTCACTAGTTCAGATGATTAAAACATCATTCTTATTTGGCTTTGTAATGTATTGTTTTATGAGTTAATTTGTTTTTCTGTCTACCTGGTAGAATTCAGTAGAAATTTTGTTTTTTTACTACATAACAACTAATGGCAGCAGGAGGCATTAGTCTGTTAAGTGAGGTCTAGTTTAAAATATTTCCCAAGGAAAAATCTACCGACTGGATCATCACGAACTGGCTCTTGCCATTTCAGGGTTCTTCAATCCTCCATTCAGTCTCATTAAGTAATGAGGATGACAAGATAAGGCACCAGGATGTAAATCTACACATCACCGTAAAGAATGAAAAAAGTCATCTGGTCTAGCAAGGAAGTAATTTAGGGAGAAATTAAGGAAATACTCAACTGCTTTTAAAATCAAAACAGTTTGAACCTCCCACCCTCTAAGTCTAAATTATGGTAAGCATTTTTACCCAACAGGCCTAAAGACCTTTGAGTGAGCACTGCTTACCCATCTGCTATTGGGGGTGGCATTAGGGACCTGGTGGCCTGGCTTCATGGAAGTTTCCCCAATCCAGTTGCCTGTGATTCTCTAGAAGGTAGGTTGAGGAGGTTGGCAAAGTCCCTTGGGAGGTATATCAGCATTAACTGGGGGCTCTTCATATCACATCCTCTCTGTGCCACCACGACCTCCCAACTTGAAAACCCTGGAATCCACTGTTCTCCCATGTGGAGAAGCCACCATTACTGAGAGAATTACTGTCAGGTTGGTGGGGACATTCTAACCAGAGATGACTGGGTAAATATGTAAAAATGAACCTCACTTTGATGCCCCTTGAAATGAGACTGCACTCAGAAGGACCATGTCCAAGAAGACTTAGATACTGAAACACCAAAATGACTAAATTATAAAGACATTTTAACTTAAAAAAAAAAAACATTGGTCACAAAGACAGCATTATAGTAAAACTGTACTACATTTAGAAATTCATTAGTCATAAATTAAGCTGCTAATAGGAAAGAAAACTCTAGTTTCAGAGAGTGGTTAATTTACATTTGCATGCTTAGTAAGATTATTTTTAATTGCATTTGGAAAAAAATCTATACTTAGGTTACCTTCAAAGAAAGGAACAATTCATAATGTCTCAAAATAACCCATAGGAAATTAGAGTCCATAACCCATGGCCAAGATGAATCTTACTGTCCCAGGGGGGCAGCAATGGCAGTTACAATATTCTGAAGCCTGAGATCTGGAATAAATTAATGATCGTCTCTTTGTAAAGTTGAAGAAATAAGTCGGAGAGAAGACAATATGTCTGTAGAAATATCAATGCAAGAAGGACACAAGTAATCTCATCCACAGTGTCCTTGCATCTTCAGTCAGTGTTATCATACTGACAGTATTGTGCACGTTGATTTAATTTCTATCTAAATGAGGATAGGAGAATTTTTTTAATAGAAATACATGGTCATTTTAAAGAATAAGAGGCCACAGAGAAAAAAATGAACTTTTGCTTCTAAAGAATTAGTTGGTCAAAATATTTTGGATTTATATAAGTGCTGACATTGAGAACTGGCTTCACAGTACATGACTAGATGTCCTCAGCCCGTCTCTGGAAGGGGTGAGCTCTGTTCATGTCACTAAGGATAAGGTTGCAAAGTGCTTCCCTGTGGCCCAGGGCACACCAGTCAAAGAGCTGATGCTCAGGCCTCCGTTCTGGACCATGTTGATCCTCTCCCCAACATAGTTCTCTCTCCCACTTAACTTGGTCTATTTCTGGCTTTTAGCCAACATGTTGAACACCAGTGAGAGAAATTCCTCTCCTTCTCTGTTGGATCATGCAAAATTTAGCAGAATGCAAGTTCACACAAAAGGGCATTAACTGAGCTGTTCCTAGTTTCCCTTGCAGGTGGTGGGAGCCATACCTCAATTAGGGCCTCAGGACAGTGCCAACAGATTAGACAGAACAATATGCATGGAAAGAAAAGTATCTGAATGCCCCTCCAATAGGCTAAAGTGGCATCCAGGACAAAGACAGAGAGAGAGGTGTGAGAAACTTACATGTAAAGGGTTCCATTTCCCAGCCTTCCAGGGTGGCAGAAGGAAGAGAACAAAGAGCGAAAGTAAGAAAACGTCACAGAGAACATTCTGGAAAAGTCACTGCTCTACACAAACAGGTTGAGGCTCAAGAAACTTTATTTAAATCAGCCTCATGAGTCCATTTTTAACCAAAAGGATTTAATTAAATTTTATTGGGAAAGTCATAAATGGGCATACTGCATCAAGCAACCCTTCCCATAAAAGGAAAGAAGTTATTAAATTTCTGTCCAGTATAAGCATAATTCGAGAAGGACCAAGGGAGACAGAGAGAGGGAGAGAAAGAACACAATAAATATTATCATTAAATCTAAAATTATAAACGCAGATCATTGGGAATCATCAGCAGAAAAGCAATGCTACAACTTAAAAAAATGAACTAAATAGAAGAAAATGAACATTTGTTTCCTATTTCTAGGAGGTTATGCTAAATTCTGAAGAAAAAATACCAGTTTTGATGAAATTTGAAACAATGAATAATGTACTTGTTGATTCAAAAGCCAAAAATCCATAATTTTCTGGGACATATCGGAAAGGGTGAGTTTTATCTTACCTTGCCTTTTGAAATAGCTTTGCAAGCTATTTTTAAGATCAAGTAAGACCAGAAGCAGTTCAAGCCTTGTATTAGCAACAGCAGTAGGTTAAAAACCCACCAGGAAGGATAAGGTCCAACGATCTCCCAACTTTCAAATAACGTCGTATTTAACACCCTGAGGAAAAGGAGAAAAGTAATCATTGAACACAACTTTTCACTTTGCCTTCAAAGGAACTCTAGTTACTGCACAGAAACACAAAGTCAACAAAATCGGCTAACTACTTCCTCCCTGCCAGGATGGCCTGAAGGCTGACCAGGTACTTAGAAGAGTCATCACCTGAACCATTCCCCTGATGGCATAACATTCATTTTGATTCTAGCTTGAAAAGGGTACTTATGCTCCCCTTTCACTTCTGTTGGCATTTCTTTCATTAATTTCCATTAAGTTTGGGGTTGTGATTCTACCTCTAACTACTTGTTTACAGGCCTGTATTGTCTTTGAAGTTGCTCTTGGTCTTTAAATAAGTGTAAGGAATGCCATTCAATAATCTTACATTGCAAGAAATAAAGATTAATTAATTCCAGAAACACTAGTTAAGTTCACATATGCTTCGCACAGTGGGAGTTAGAATACACTTGAGACCTAGTCCCTGTCCTCAAGTGATTTAGAGTCTAGCAGAGGAGCCCCTGGAGGGCTCTTAATTTTATAAGCCTTCCTCTGGGAAAGAATTGACAACTAAAAGGTATCATTTTGAAGTGATGCCTTGAGATGAGTATTGGAAGGGTTTTTAAAAAAATTATTAGAATATAATGAATGTATTAAAAAATTATTAGAATATAATAATAAATGTACTTAGTTTTAAGAGTGTGTGCTTGAGGTAGGCAAAAGCATTTGAAGCAATTGGTTCTCTCTGTAATGCACCATCAGAACCAGGATGGAGCAGCCACCTGGGGCAGATCCATGAGGGCTGATTTGAGTGCTTTCCTCTCATCCCTGCTGTGTCTGCTCCTTAGCCTTTGAAAATTGACTAACACCTTCTGGACTCATACTGCTGCCACAAGGAAGCACGGTACCCACAGAATTTTGGGATCACTCTTACTTCTTTGCTTTCCTCCTTAGCTTTCTGCAGGGCTGGTTTGGAGATCTAAGGGTGTTGACAAAACTCATCTAAATGTATTTCCACCATGTGTCACTGGAGCGCTTTGCTGGGACCGTACAGGACAACAGTGTTAGGTGGACAACACTTAGTGGCTAAGGGGGAGGGATGGAAAACTCTTGAATTTAAGACACACACTGGTCATACAAGAACGGAAGGCTGATATACAGACAATCTTCATATAAAAAAGAGTGTAATGAGCGCTTTGAGAGAGGTTAAGAAAAGTACTTTTGAATTCACAAAATGAAAAAACTCTACTTATTTGTAGTTTGGATGAGAGGTAAAGAAAAAAGGAGAATGAATAATAGATGTAAGCAGGTTCCCCATCCACAATTTCAGCAACTGCATTTATAGACCAGAATGAGATGAATAGAGTGTGTCTGTAACCCTGCCACACTAGTCGTCTGTCAAGAACAATGCACAGTAAACATGGAGGTTAAAATCCTAAAATCAACACTATGGAATTGAACTTGACAATTCATTAAAAGTATACTAATCCATGCTATAGTATTATTCATTCTGGTGGAGGAGAACCAATATTAGGAAATCTAGTAGTATAACATATCATAACTTCCTAGGCCAAATTGGTACAAACCTAATTATTTCCATAGCCAAATTACCAAATGTTCAATTCTTCACGCTGATGTTTAAAAACTAGAACTGAAAGAACTTAGCATGATTTTTCACCTACTCAAATCAGCAGTTGTCATCATCTTTAACAAACACCAGAGTTATTGCCTCTATAGTCAGGAACAAACCACGGACAGCCAGCGTCACCATCATTACTTGACACTATTCTGGAAGTTCTGGCCATTGAGTATGGTAGAAAGTCAAAGACTTCATTTCAAATACATAGACATTAAATCTCTATGACTATTTTAAAAACAGCAAATAATCAAAATTTCCATAACAGAGAATGGTAAAAAAAATTAGTTTTCATTCTTATTCCAGAAATTATGATGTCATTCAGAGTATTAAACATGTTTCAAGAGTTTCTTATGATAGAGAAAAATATGTATCATTGCATCTCCATAAAATAAATAAATATATGCACATACAAACAGAAAAAAGGGAATAATACATCTTTGAAAGGAATTAATCAAAGCCATGATGGACTTTCTTTGGTGGGTTAGGAAATTTTATATTTTCTTCTTTACATTCTTCTATTTTCCAAATCCATCCCAAATAACTAGAAAAAAATATGTTATTTGTAAGAAGGAATAAATTAGGACTATGCCGATATTAGCGCCTTGTTTATTATCCCAAGAGGGAGCCATCTCTTTAAACACCAGTTTGCTGGTCAGGGGAGAACAGGTCTAAACAAGGTTCAACTCTGTGGCAGCGAGGGGGGACCCACACACCCTATGCCTCTCTATCTCTGGTACCTTGCAAAATACTCGAAGCAACGTGCTCCATTAGACATGTTGGTTGATTGACTGTGTGTTTGTTCAGTAACTAATTTTACTTCAGAACTAGGTAGTACACTTTGACATTGAGAGAGAATTTAGTTTCATTTGAACAGAAAGAGGTCCTGTCGAAATAGCAATGATGATTGCATTATGCTATTCATTATAAATTAGCCTTTGCTGGATTACAGGTTGAGAGCCTTTCTCACAATGGTAATGACAATTTGCTTGGTTTAATTTGAACAGAGTGTCAGGCAGTCGCTGGTGTCACAACATTCCCATTAATTTCTGAAATGCAGCAGCAGAATTCATAGGCTTTGCCGTGACAATCAGTGACACCTCTGAGATACTGCTCAAAAGTAACGGGATTTCTTTGAAAATTGACTTGGCTGCCTGCAGAGACACTTGGGAAAATACAATCAGTGCACCAAATGGATATATGTCTTAGTGAGGAGCTTGGTAAGAAAAACAATATCTTAGGATTCAGACTGGGAAAAGAGAGATCATTATGCCTCCTGGACTCTGAAAAGTAGTAAACTCACGAAATGGGGTCTTTTGTTAGCCACAGAATGTTTCTGATGATGAAACTGCCCCTTTTGGGGTAAATTATTAAAATGGTGATTACAGGATTTTATCCTTTCTTGGAGGTTAGCCTTAGGAGTGTGTACTTTAATGATGTCTTTTGTGAACCTCTGGTAACAGAGTTCTGAAGAGTGGTTGTCTTTGTGGGAGGATTGATGGGAGGGGCATGAGGGAGGCTGCTGGGCTGCTGGAATGTTCTACAGCTTGATCCAGATGCTGATTATATGGATTATACAAAAGCAAGAATTTACAAATGTAAAAATGAATCAAGCCGTATACTGAACATTCGTGTACTATACTGCACGTGCGATTACACCTCCATAAAAGAAAATGGAAAAAAGTACTCTGTGGGCCAGACACTGCCAATTTGCAACATCTGCCTTACACAACTATTATAATATCAGTGGGTTTTTTTTCCCCCCACAATAGTTTGTGTTCAACAAGTGGCTTCTAAGAAAATGGATTTTTTCCCCCCAAATAATAGTTAGCCTACAGCGTCAGACCTCCTACCGCAGCTAAAATCAAGTGGTGCAGAGTTTGCAGGTATGAGAGACCGGAATGGACCCTTTTCCTTTTCATTCATGTTAGGCTCCCTCAACCACTAGATGGCACATCATGTATGCACAAAGCATGCTCAAATAGGTCTATTCTGCCAGAACCTTCTGCCAAAGTGTGGGTCCCAGTGCAGGAATCACTCAATCTTCAGGTTACACCCTCCCTCTCAGAATCCTGTCAAACAATGAAAGGAAGAGGCTCCCCTCTGTGGTTCTTTCTTTCTACATGATTCCCGACACAAACAAATGCCTGCACAGCAAAGCTGAGCTCAACGCAACTGCTTGGTGAAGTGCAGACACACCAGTTAGCATCCCAATAGCTCAGCCTTGATGGGTTATTTTAATGAGTGTGTAGTGAATCGTAAGAATTTAATTTGACTATGCCCTATAGTTACTTTTGCTCATGCTTTGATTATCACAAAATTATTATACAGGCTTCGTGGGGTAGGGGGAGATGCATACATTCATGCAGAAAAGTGTACAAGCTCTCTTTAAGCAAAGGAAACAGAGTAGTCTCATTTTAATACAGTATTTCAGGCCTTATTCATTCACCTTCTCAGCATCCATGTAACTTCTGCTTTCCCCTTAAGCCCCAGAAGTCTCATAACGTCATACAGCATAGTGCACCAAAATTTTCACTGACGTCTCATTTAGAAAAGCTATAACCAACGCTTAATTTCTTCATTCTTATCGTGACTGCCTAAACTAAACTAAAAGTTTAAGTTCTTTATCTTTAGTATGTAAAATTAGGCGAGGCTTCTCACTTTCAGCCCTATACATCTTACTTTTAAAACACTCTGGTGATTTAGAGGTAGGACCACCTAACAGTGATTCAGATGTTAAAGATGACAGAGGCCCAGGTGATCTCCTTGTGTGAATGAGTTACAGGTGGATGTTTATGATGAGACCATGGTCCCCTGACACAGCAAGCAACCACAAGCTTTGCCTGCGCCCCTTCTCCCCACTACCCACACCAAAGAGCTCCATCTGAGCCTTGGACTGTGTGTTTCTGGAATGATCTCTGTAAAACCACAACAATAATTAGACCCATGTCAAATATCCAAAGAAAGCCAAGACTGCTTTTCTAGGAAAGAGTCAAGGTCAGGGCCTCACTTTGAGGAGCACCAGATAATGCCAGTGAGGGTAAATTAAAAACTAAAATTTGCTTGGTGGTCAAAATTAGGGTGTTCTTTACTTCAGAACTTGTGAAGGGTCTTGACTTTGCTTTACCAGACAGACCTCAGTGTATTTCATGATGAGTGTTTTTCTGGCATACATTTTCATTTGACCTACACAAAACATAAATGAAAAGTAGATTCTACCTAAAGATTAGTAATAATCTACTGGCATGTTTTGCTCATTTTAAAGCAGATGTTGATAGAAAAGTTACTCGGCACAGAAACCACCGGCACTTACCACCTGAAAAAGAAGAGTCAGGAAATAAATTCACTGTTATAAGCAATCCTCTTTGTCCTG